CAATCCAATTATGTACCTACAGTTACCTGGGCAACTTGCACATGTATTTTTTTTAATGTTTCAAGCAGTGAAGATATTAGAAACCCTTGACATGTTGTTAATTAATTAATAACTAATTAACGGATGTTTGCTGCCGCGCTAATTTGTGACTCGTGACGTCATTTAGTGTGATAAAAATTCGAGAAAATGAAACATTTGTCTTGAATAATTCCTACATTAACACTAAATTTTAAATATATATATTTTAAAGAACTGGTAGTTTTGAAACAAATATGTTTGTAGTTTATGATGAACTGTAAGAGATATTGTAGCTAAAGTCCGAGATAATAAATTTCAAAACTATAAAAGATTTGAATTAAATTATATTTCGTATGTATTTACAAATAATATACATTCCAAGAAAAATTATAGATTACAGCAAATATTTCACATAGGTTGACGAAAGTATATACATTTGAATAGAACAAAATAACATTTATGGCAAATAATTCCATTTAAAATTATCTGCTCACTTGATCCAAATACTTTTTTTCAGTGCATTAACATAATAAGTAACAATAGTCTAGAAACAGTTGAATTCGCTCTGCCTTGACGACTGACGGCCAGTTTTGAGTCGCACTAAGTGACGTCACAATACGTTCTTGATCACGTGACAAAATTTATATATTTAGGTACATAATTAATTAAACATCTATAATTAATTTGTAGCATTAAAGAAATTAACTTTTTTGCCACTGTTAGTGTTAGTGCTGTACAAATTTATGTTGTTTGTATAAAACAATAAATTATCATAAGTTGCCTATTGCTCTAAATGGTGTAATTTTCAATTGGGCGCCAAATTAATAAATATATCTCTGTATTTAAATAATTATTATTAAGTGGAGTTTGTTGATTACATAAAATATATGGCTAGTTTGCTTTAAAAAGTTCTAATAAGGGTTATTCAACGATATTCCGAGAATATTTACACGATTTCATAATATTTCAAAAAATCCCGTGTTGAATATTGTCCAAAATCTAAATGAATTCTGTATTTCAGGCAATATCATATTTTGGTTTATGCACCAGGACTAAATCACAGGTAAATATATTGATGAGAGTGACCCCAGTTTTAAATTTTATCCTCGAAAAATATTTTTTCGATTTATTAACAGTTCTATAAATACACATAATGTGAAAATAACAAATACAACAAGGACGTAAAAATAGGTTTCATTATTTTAAATCAGCCGCAAAGATAGCCGTGGATATAAATTAAAGCGACGATTGCAAATAAAGTTACGTTGTGTCGGTGAAATAAAAAAGATGTTAAATGTCATTTATTATTGTCTCTTTTGAAGGTGTTTTACTGTTTCATATAAAGAGTGCATTAATATATGTGTCCATTTTTATACGTTGGCAACGACTTAGTTTTGGTCGCGAAGCACTCAATTTTTTTAATGCATGTTTCGCGTATGACATGCTAATATACTTAATTATTCTAAAGCCCTAAAACTAATATTTCTAAGAATATTTTTTATGTAATTATGACAATGAAATAAAATCAAAGTGTTTGAAATACTATTTTGGCAAATACAGTAGACAACATTAAATATTCTGTCATTTTATTTTTTTACCTTATCTGTTTGGCACACCTGGCCACTTAAAAATATTTGAAAATATTATCTATTATAAAAGATATTCTAGAAGTTCTCTCTAATTGTTACGCCACAGATAAAGGTCGAACAATTTTGTTACTTTCCAGGAAGGGACTTGAGTAAAAAATTACGTATGTAGCAATAATAAATCATTTGGTTTATTGTTATTGTATTTATTATTGGTGTAATTTTCACAAGATTCTATTCAACCAATCAGCTATCGCATTATCTTGAGCGTAGATTTAGAGATTTTTAGTTGACAGTACCAGACATGCAATATTGGGTTGCCTAAACTCAAGGGTCACGTGTCTTCTAAATATTCAATTGCATCTTTAAAAAATATTGAGTTTAAGTGTTATTACTTATGTAAACGAAGTTCAGCATAGGTAGTACTTAAAAAAGCACACGTATATAACAAAGTAATCATTTATGTACAAGTTTTATGAATTTAAGAGTTTATTTGTTATCCGTATCTACCACGATTTTTATCAAGTATCATGAAATCCCCTAAAAACCGAGATGGGGGAAGTTTATTTGGACGTTAAACATATCTAAGAACATTCATTACGTGCAGAAGTGTGTGCAAATATTTATAATTTTGTCAGGATTAGATAAAATGTTGGAAACAGTGAGAACACAGCTGTAATTTCAAACGTGCCAAGTTCTATGAGATAATTCCTTAAAAAAGATACCTTAGGAAATATTTAAATATATATTAATATGTACGTACGCTGGTCGTAACATTTTCCATTACCACTGTACATTTATCTCGATGTTGTCAAGCGTCATTTTAATGTAACATTTTTCACGTTTCGCAAATACTTCCTTAGTCATTTTTATTTTGGATGGAATAAAATTTTCATTATTGCACGACTTAAAATAGATTTGTTTTCCTGAAAATTAAATTTTTTGTACCTGTCCGATACATTTCGAGAGAATGTGCATGTGTAACAGAGTTGTGACATTTATTGCGAACATATTTTGCTATTAAGCGTGTGCCTGCAAGTTTTCCTAAAAGCAATTTGAGAATATGTCAGAAAAAATACTGTACCGATAAATATAATAACTGTAATGATTTTTATGTGCGTTATTGAAATTTTTTACCGCATTCTGTCTTGTGGAAAATATCCACGGTATAAGGGCGATATTGCGACAAACTTCTAAAATTACTTTCGTTAAAATAAATAAAAAATAAATGAATAAAAAGTAACGTATCTTTCTAAAGCGATTACTAACAAAATGTGCGTTTATTTATGTATAAATATGAATAAAAACTAAACAGTCGGAATAACGAGGGTGTGAGGGTCAACGAAAAAAAAAAATTGATTGAGCAATGAATCTTCTTTTACACATTTGGACGAAAGCTTTTTTACCCTTATAGGTTTTCTTTGAACATAAATTTTTGCAGAACTTTATCGATTTTCACCTTTTTTGCACCTGTCTTTAGCATCTAACTTTTTTATAGCTTTTGGACTTTTACTTCTGAATTAATTGCAATTAATTAAAAACTCCTGTTTTATGTTTATTTGGATAAACAAGTCAGTCCTGAAAGTTTGTTATATATAAAAAAAACTTACTACTTATTTATTAAATTATGTTAAGAGTAGAAAAATAACCCGTCTTCTTTATTATTTTTTTAAATAGTATAATTTCTTTGCTAGACACAGCTTTCGCAATAAATGTCGCAAATTTCTTCTTTAGGTGATTAATGATTAAGGCGCGGGAATATTTTGTACACAACGTAAAAATAGACTAAATTCATCTTGTCTGTAAGGAGCGTAGGTCAAGAACAGGGTCCTTTGTCAATAGCGCTGACAAAGACAAGAAACTTTAACAGTAGAGCAGGATCCTTCGGTCTGGTAAATATAGTTATTCAATGAAAGTTTTAGTATACATATATTTAAATATTTTTGGGATTTTCCTATAATAGATTATCTGTATATGATTCTATTTAATGATCGATTTCACGTTCAGGCAGACAATTAACTCCAGTGCCAGTCTGGTACCGTTTCTGAAGCTTGAGGACAAGATGAATTTGGTCAAGTTTTAAACATTATAGATAGGGAAAAATGAGTAGAATGTAAATACGCGATTAAAATAAATTTAAAATGCATATTTACGCAGAAAAAAAATATTTTCAAATCATTGTTTAAGCCCCTTTTCCGACTGTTTCTGACTGCTGATCCACAAAGATTTATGAAGAGTGAATCTTGACCTACCATAATATGCGGTCATTAACCTAGCTTTTAATGCCTTTTTAATCCTTATTGAGCTACATCCAATAAAGACAGCTTTTTAGCTAGACACAGGAATGAATAAGATATTTTTTTATATTTAAAATATTAACAAGTATTATTTATTTGTTAATAAAAACAAGTGTCTTAGGATAATAATTGTTTTCGAATGTTAGGTTATATAATTTAGTATTTTAAGATTGTTACATATGTTCAATTAATTATTCAGTTTGTAGTACGTATACTTATTGTGTGACTTATTGCTTTTCAATGAGTATGGTATCTACCTATTTAAAATGACACTACGGCTAAAAAAAACACTCACTCATTCATCCATAGCTTTGTTATTAAAGATTTAGGATCCGTTGCACTTCAATTTTGAAACCAATAGCAAGATTCTGTGTAAAAAGTCTAAGTCCGTGTCGTCGAATTAACGGAAGTTAGGGGCAATTTGCTTATTTTTTAAAAGATAGAGTAAATTTCTTTTTCGATTTTTTATCTCTATTAGGCCTTCCGAATACGCGGTCAAAATTATGACATTATGACTTAATCACCCTGTATAAGGAAACGGTAACCGACATTTTACCTATCAATTTAACAACATTTTTTTTTCAAATTTCTGAAGTATATAGCTGCGTCGATTTATCTGATATGAATTATATATTTTGAAGAACAAGTTTCTAAACATAGGATAAACTCAGATCAGCGGCTATTGTTAACAAAACACTACAATCAAGGCAAGTTGCTTAAATAAAATTGTTTTAGAAAAAATGATTTTTGTTATGCATATGAAACAAAATAAAGACATGGAATGTACGAGTGGTTTGCGGACTCTATTAATGATATACATGAAAATAGTATTTATTTTATAAATTGCGTAGAGCTAGTTACACTTTTAAAAAATGAATTTATTGAAGATCCACGAAAATACTGACTTGTTGCATGTTGCACAGACTATATGTTTGAAATTTTATTGTAGAACATGAAATGAATATTTTGCCACAATTTGTTTTACTCCCAACATTAAAATTTGTAATTGCATTGTGAACTATGTTGCACCAATCCTGAATAACGTTTTGAAACCTGCATGTCTGTATTGGAATAAGATTTACTGACTTTTGGCTTCCAGATAACCATAATGGCCGGCCATGTTCGCCGGAGGAAGACGGAGGTCGTCGTCTGTGAAGGTCATGCAGCTCTTCCATGAACTGAAACAACAATTCCCAACCATTCCCGATCACATAGTGACCTCCTGCATCACCTCCTACATCCAGTCCAACGCGCAAGGCAAAACGTCCAACATCATCGACCTCCTAGACGCCGCTTTAACGGAGAACAACCAAGAGCAGATGGGACGACCTCAATCTCCGCTGGAATCACCCTCCCTAACCCAAAATCTAGAACCGAAAGACATCCCAACCCGAGCAGACGTTCACCCACACCCCCAATCTACCTTTGGCAAAGTTTCGGAAAAGGCAAACCTTGACCAACCGCGCGTCGAACGAAACCGATTCGAAATGAACGAGAGTGCAAGTGATTTCAACCGAAATATCGTAAAACCGAGTGTGTCGAATTGTAACGAAGGAGTTAGTGCGCCAACGCCAAAGGGCGGCCTCGCCAAGAGACCCAACCACCTGGACATCAAATCGGAAACCTTCAACAGCTTCGAGAACGCCAACGAGGAGAAGAGGAAGTTCAACATACAACTCTCCGAGAAGTGCAAGGACGTTCACAAATTGCTTAACTCTAACCTAACGAGTGATAAACCCCCGCGATCGCCTCTAAGTGCTAAGCGTTTTTCAAAGAACTCCCCTACCAAGCTAGAAAGGTCATCTCTGGTGTCTCCTGACACTCAAAAGCGGTTGCAGGAGGACATCAAATCCCCTGACGCTCAAAGGCGGTTAAGCCAGGAAGAAAAGTTGAAAAAGGAGAGTCCTTCAGTGACTGCAGTGAAAAAGGAAACGTGCTCCACACCCAGCCAAACGACTGACACCCTGCTAGGAAGCCCCACTCCCAACGTGAACCTTTCCCTGAACGTGAATTGTTCCGTGGGGCTGGTGCAGAGCCCACCACAGTCCAAACGCACCTCTGTGGCACAGCTAACGCCAACGCAACCCTGGCTGCAACAACCGACGTCGCCGAGGAGCTACACCAGCGTCAATCTGACCCTGAGGCCTCCGGCCTCCACCCCACAGGATCCCATAGACATCACCTCGCAGAATTCGAGTCTAACGTATTCTACGAGTAGTTTCGATTCGCAGAAGGGACTTCAGAGCCGGTTGCAAATCACTGTGGGACCCGGTGGGGGCAGCGTTTCGTCCGTTAGGGCCAGGCCGAGGAGCTACCACCCTCAGGAGCCCCTGCAAGAAGTCGTGCCTACGAGAGCTGGATCTTTGAACGATTTGGCGGCAACCTCAGAACGTAAGTACTCTCAAATATTTTTTATTTAGATATTAAACTTACTTGTTCTGTAAATTGGGCAAAATACTGTTTAACATTTATATTTTAAAATTTAGCGCCAGAAAGAAGTAGGTATATTTACATATGTACGGTACACTGTCTATGTCCTGGTCTTACGAATTCTTACAAATTTTTGATACGACCATAATACTTTGTTTTCATCAGACCACTTCGTATGAATATCATGACGTTTGCAACTACCAAGTATCAATGAAAATGTATTTGTTGTATTGCGTACGAAATACAGAAAAACTACCATCATAGGATCAAATATGTAAGTAATATCTCAAGGGGGAACATACTGATTGAATTTTACGATTTTTGTAATAATTCCCAACAATAAAACCAGCGCCGAAATAATCGAAAGTATACAGGGTGATTCACAAATGGTGACCAAAAATGAAACCTCATATTCTTTGGTGAATTTTAAGGGGAGGCTTTCCCATGAGGTTTTTATCTAGGACGCTTCGTTAAAATGATACAGGGTGTTAAACTTCAAAAATTATTTTTAATTTTTTTTTAATAATTTAAAAACTAGTAGGTAGGTAAGTGAAATAATTTGAAATTGGGCACATGTATTTATGTAAACATTGTCCAAAATCTGAGGTCTTTTCCTAAAATTTACATGCTCCAGTGGCGGAGATACAGGTCATCGGTGATATATTTAGTGCTATCAAACAAAAAGCTAATTTCTATACAAAATTTAAAATAACTGGAGATGGTTTGCAGTTGGATAATTTTAAAAGGTTGAGAAATAAAATAAAATCCGATATAAAGGAGTCTTATAATTTACTCATAAAAAAGTCGGAACGCGATATAAAAAATGACCCAAAACAATTCTGGGCATTTATAAAGAAAAAGAAGAATTTGTCAAACATACCTACTACTATGAATTATAATACTAACACAATCACGTCTCTACCTGAAATTGTAAATTATTTTGCGAACTTTTTTATGCAGTCGTTTTCGCATGATACCTCAATAAATTTGATTTTTCAAAATGAAGTTTGTTATACGCCTACTATTAACATTCAGTCTTTCTCAGAACAAGTAGTAGTAAGCGCTATGAAAAAGTTGAAACCCAAATTAACAGCTGGACCGGATCTTGTGCCTTCGTTTTTAATTCGCGACTGTAGGTTTGTTTTTAGCAAACCTCTACAAATGTTGTTTAATTTCTGTCTAAAATCCAAAACAATACTTACCTAATATTTGGAAAACATCTAAACTTAGTCCTATATGTATATAAAAAAGGTGACAGATCTGATGTTAATAATTATCGACCAGTGTCAATTATATGTAATTTTTGCAAGGTATTCGAGATTTTGCTTCATGATTCATTTTTTCTTTAACAAAAAATCTAATCTCACCGTATCAGCATGGTTTCTTCAAAGGTAGGTCTACGGCAACAAATCTCATGACTGTTACGCAAGACATTGCTGAATCAATAGATAATGGTCATCAAACTGATGTTATATATCTTGATTTCACTAAAGTATTCGACCGCTTAGATCACCATCTTCTGCTCAATAAACATTCACGTTTTGGTCTCTCTAATGACTTAATTGCGTCGTTTAAGTCTTATCTTAATTGTCGTACTCAATATGTTGAGATTCGTGGCTTTAAATCAACTCGATATGTTGCAGTATCAGGCGTGCCATAAGGTTCCGTGTTAGGTCCATAAACTCAATGCAAAATTTTTGTTGTACGCTGACGACGTAAAATTGTATAAAAGAGTCGAATGTATACAGGACTGTACTGAACTTCAAAAAAATCTGGAGGTGATTGGGGAATGGTGTATATCAAATGGGCTTCAATTAAACAGTAACAAATGCAATAGTATGTCATTTACTAAAAAAAAGGCGCCAACTGCATATCACTATTCACTGAATGGCAATCGTATTTCTAGGGTAGATATGTTTAGGGATCTAGGTGTCCTATTTGACACAAAACTATCTTTTTCTCATCACATAAATACCGTAATATCTGAGGCATTAAAATCATTTGGTTTTATTGTACGATGTACACGTGATTTCTCAAATTGTGATGTAATTAAGATACTTTACACATCATATGTTAGATCTAAATTGGAATATGCGGCAGTTGTTTGGGCTCCGAGCTATGATGTCTACGATACCAAATTGGAGGGAATACAGCGGAAGTTTTTGAAATATTTGACATATAAAAGCGTTGGTTTTTATCCCGAGCAGGGTTTTCCACATGATTACTTGTTAAGGAGGTTTAACTTTTCTTCATTAAAACATCGCAGAGAATACTTTATGCTAATCACATTGTATAAGATAATTAACAATCTTATTGATTGTCCCGATATTTTATCAAGATTAAATTTGTATGTACCCAGAACAATTCAAAGGCATTTTAATGTCTTTTATTTACCTACACCGAGAACGAACGCTTTAAAATTCTCTCCGTTATATTTAATGTGTGATGTATGTAACAGTCAATTAAATTTTGATATTTTTAGCAGTACTCTGTCAGCTGTTTGCAGAGCATTGATTCATTGAAAACTCTGGCATTTTCTTTCTTTCTTTTTTTTTTCATCATAATCTGTGTTATTCAACTTTTTTATTGCTATTTTCTTGTTTTGTTGACTTATGTAAGATGTGTTTGTGCTTTTTCTTGTATTTTCTTCTCATCTTGCTTTGTAATTGGGTTTATACCTGTGTGGCAAGGACTTCATAAATAAATAAAATAAATAAATAAATAAATAAATATTTTTATAAATAAAATAGTACGCCATTGCTTTACGGCAACAACCATGATATTTTCGGATTCGTCTTTCAATTTTCTACAAATTACTGTACTCTTATGTTTTTCGAAAAAGGCCTTATTTTCGAGTAAAACATAAAAAACCAACTGAAAACACTTTTACGTAAATGACATGACAATCACTAATCATTCAGTTATTTATTCGAATAAAGAAATTAATAATATTAGTCATCATTTTAATTATTTTATTTGAGTAAATGCTCAAAAATACCTCCATTTATTGTTGCTTGAATCTGATGAAAAACATTATTTATTCTTTCTTCAAACGGCTAGGAATATCAAAGTTGCTAATACATCCCACTATGTAATTTCAAAAAGCATTATATTCGAATATCGAAGTGTGTTCTCAGTTCGTTTTTTAAGTTTTACTCGAAAATCAAGGTTTTTTTTTTTAAAGTAGTAATTTGTAGAAAATTGAATGCCGAATCCGAAAATATGGTTGTTACCGTACAGCAGTGGCGTACTATTTTATTTAGAAAAATATGCCACCGATACCCTGTATCTCCGCCACTGGAGCATGTAAATTTTAGGAAAAGCCCTCAGATTTTGATCAATGTTTACATAAATACATGTGCCCAATTTCAAATTATTTCACTTAACTAAGTACTAGTTTTTAAATTACTAAAAAAAAATAAAAATAATTTTTGAAGTTTAACACCCTGTATCTTTTTAACGAAGCGTCCTAGATAAAAACTTTATAGGAACCAAAGACTACGAGGTTTCATTTTTGGTCACCATTTGTGAATCATTCGGTATATCATTTTGTTCACAAAGGAACTATTATTTTTCAAATACATACAAAAAAAAATCCCTCCGGCGCACTATAATTCATTTGGACTTAGTTATGGACAAAATTAAGTAGCGCCTCGTAGAAAAAAGATAAAAAAAAAAACAAGAAATCTCGCAAAAATGGCGTTTTAAAGCTTAAGTGGAACAGATTAAGGGAAAAATAATCACATTTCACCAGCACCCCATTTACACCCTCAAAATTGATCCCCAAAATTATAATTTTGGAAAAAAAAATTACATTTTTTGCTCTCTCGTTTGCAAAATTTTTTTTAAATGATACATAAACATTTTTTTATAGTTTTTGAGATGAGGAATAAGCATCTATTGTTTAAATTGAGCTAAAAAAATTTACGAATATTTCAGTTTAAGATGTTTTTAACTCTGATTTCCGCTCTTATGCATCGATTTGCTTGAAATTTGGAAAGTAGGTGGGGAATAGCTCAAGAAACAAAATACACCCATGCTGATTTATATTTTTACCCTGGGGGTGGTTTCTACCCCTTTGTAGGGTAGAAAATAAATTTTGTCAAAATAGTCCCGGGAATCGATAGAGCAACTAATTTGAAACAAGAAATGTGTCATACAATTTTTTGATAAACCAATACTTTTTGAGTTATTTGCGATTGAAAACTAAAATATTCAATTGAAAAATTGGGTTTTCAACTTATTCCTCATCTCAAAAACTATAAAAAAATGTATTGTATCATTTGAGAATTTTTTTTTCAAACGAGAGCAAAAAAATTTTTTCCAAAATTATAATTTTGGGGCTCAATTGTGAGGGTGTAAATGCGGTGCTGGTGAAATGTCATTATTTTTCCCTTACTCTGTTCCACTTAAGCTTTAAAACGATATTTTTTGTTTTTTTTATCTTTTCTCTACGAGGCGCTACTTAATTTTGTCCATACCTAAGTCCAAATGAATTATAGTGCGGCGTCACACATTTGTGAGTGTTTACGCATTATAATACTTTTTTAACAGTTGCAAAAACAGTAAATATACAATCAACACTATGATTCCGATAGACGTAAACAGTTTGAGTTTTCGATTTGTCAATGAATTGATATTTGCCTTAACGTTTCTTTGCGATTAAATTTAGTGTACTGAAGATTTACACTTAAGTGATTGGCCACTATTATTGGCTGTTGTTAGCACTGCCAACTTAACAACATAATATTATAAAATCGACAATTTTTTAAAAAAGTAACTATGAAATAGTGAATTCCACATAATTCACTATTTTTGTGACTATAAATATTTATTTATTTAAACAAATAGGATTAACCCATGAACGCATCAACAAACATGGTAACTAAAATATGTATATTCACAATTTATAAGACTAAGAAAAAGGTAAAAAAAATTCAGTGAGTAAAATATTTTGGAGG